ACATATTATTATATTTTAAGGAAAATATTCGTTTCTTCATTTAGCATAGAAACAATAAAATGCAATAGTTACTAATTAAAAACAGAGAATAAAAATTAACTAAAACAATTACTATTTAATAAATGTTAAAAATCTTTTAAAGATACACAACTCTGGGCATTGAAGTCTTAACAATAAATGCGCGCATATTTAAAAATTATTAAATCCAAGGCGTTGTTAGACTCATAAATAATATAAAGTAGACAACTTAGTCGCTCTCTGAAATATTAATAAATTCCCTCCATAAATCTTCAAGAAGTATCGATGTGTCTACACAATGCAACTCAAGTTATGTAGTGAAACTAATTGTGGTCGCATGTTGCCTCTACGGCATAATAAAATTTTATTATTACTGTAAAAGTACTATCTATAGGTATTAAACTGAAAATTTCCTTGTCGATAAGAACTGGTTTATATATAATTCAAGTCGAACCAAAAGTTAGAAGCGGCATGTTTTATTAAAAAAAATTATACCATCAATTTTTTTCATAGTTACACTACAGAAGTTGACAATCGAATAACTAATTTAAAGGCGACCGTGATTTAAATTGATAAAATGATTATTTTTATAAAAATATAATTGTCAGATTTAAAAATTGTTTATTCCAGTACATAATAATTATGTATGCCGCAGTGGTGTCATATTACGCAAGCGGTCGCCACCTACTCAGTCAACTTTCACTATTAGAGCATCATCGTTTTGTTCTAATATTTACGGCTCTGACGTTTTGTGACGATTCCCGACCTTTAAAAAACTATCTGCATATTATCCATTATTGATACAAAACAATCGTAGAATTCTTTTTTAGCCTAATACACCCACGTCTTCATCGTTCAATAAAAGTAATATTTATCGAGTGATTTATCTATACGTAAATACTACTTACTATAAAAACGTTTATCATTTTCCAGTTTGAATCAGCACTTAGAACGAACAGTAAATTTGTAAAAAGCAAATGGGTGTATTTGTGATGAGATAAAATTGTTGAACGAGTTAAACGTGTTAATGCAAGAAAAACACTGTTTACAACGTGTCGAACATTAACAACATATGGAAATCAAGATCTGAAAACCTGACATTGATCAACTTGAAAACATGAAAATAAAGATGGGATATCGAAGAAAAACATATTTATTGCATGCATCATTATTAAATTATACTCAAGTAGAATTGTATGGGGATTCCAGGCGCGTTTAATTTGACATAAAATAACTTGAATGCACTTGACATGGAAGTCCGTCTTTAACTGGAAAGTTATAGGTTTGAAAAAACGTAGGTTGAAATATTGCAATATGAAATATGCAATATGAAATATTGAAATATTGCAGAGCATATTGCAAGTCCAAATGTATGTACCAATATTCTGCCGCAAAGCCATCATAAATACCGGTTTCAAACTGGGACTACTGCTGATTATTACTACTGAGAGTACGACCCCCCGTTTCAAGTTTAATAAAGACATTCACGTTGTAATATCTGTGGCCTGCGATAACCACTTAGCGTCAGCTGAGCCGAGAGTTCGTTCATTCACTAATCTATGCAATAAAAACTACATAGTAATGCCTTCTTATTGGTCGAACTTAATTTGAAGTTTTAAATTCATGTTATAATTTTTTTCCTTTTTCGATAATAAAGATCATCAATAGCTACTAAATAAAATAAAAACTATGTCAAACAAAAGACAAAAATATACTGTTTTGATTATAGCCTATTGATTATATATAATCCTGCTTCCTTAATTATAGCTAGACAAAATTATCTTTGAAGTCTAACTATAAATTTTTAAGCTAAAATTACATACGTAATTTTATGAATATATCAGTCAAGTATTTTTTGCATGATGTTTAAACGAATAAATAAATATAAAAAAATAGCTGCTTTGATTTATTTTTAAAACCTTCATGAGATCGTCGATGGAAATTTATGTATTATATTTTCATGAGACTAAATTATAATGGTGCATTCGTATGAGAAGGATCGTGGTTGGCGCGTCCTTGACCGCGGGCAGCCGAGGGCTGTGTCCGCAACACTCATCTACAACAAGCGCATTAATTATTTATAAGGTCCAAATTAAAGGTTCCGATCGTACAAAACCCAGGAATAAATGAATAAACATCGGAACAAATTGACCGCGACGATTCAAAAGCCAGGCGACGTATCACCGCGCGCCACTGAAACAATGGCTGCCCTACGTCGTTTGGGACCATCTTAAGCGTTTTTTTTAACGATTCTACAATTTTAACAATAAATTTTATGGTTAGACGACATTCTTAAATCCCTTATTAGTTAATTTTTGTATCTCCTATGACACTATACTACATAATGTATATACATAATATCCGCAGTAAATGCTTTTTTTTTATTAACTTCCAAATTTATGTATGCACGTGAAATATGATTTTAAATTATATTTTACCAAGTCTGCTTGATTTATATTTTACTCATTTAGAAACAAATTGTTAAGTTTTTTTTTTTATTGCCCTTGTAGGCAGACGAGCGTACGGCCCACCTGATGGTGAGTGGTTACCATCGCCCATGGACTTCAGCAATGCCAGTGGCAGAGCCAAGCCGCTGCCTATCGTTAAGTACAAAAGAAACTCGTGAAATCTATAATGAAAAATGAAATTCATAAGCCTTATCTCTAATTATTCGTAAGAGACAAAAGAAGATAGGCACCAGCCTTCAGAACCGATGATCCATTAAAAACCTAAAATCATGTTTGCATAAACATTATTATACTATTAAGTCCATGTCAATTTCTCGGATAATTGGATCCTAAAGCAATTATACAGTAATTTGCGAAACTAATTAGGACAATGCGAATCCCTGGAATGCCATCATAATACCTACGAACATACTTACATTTCGATATACGTTTCTCTCATCGTTATGCCGCATACGCATACATATAGAGATATAAGTAGCCATTGAATCACCGCTGTAATTATAGAAGTGGGGGATTGGCTGCGATGCGGCCGTATTCGATCGAGACAGATACAGTTTTGACGATACGTGGGAAAGGGAGGGACGCTAACAAGAGGCTCGTTCGTCCGTTTGATCGACACCGCCGGGGAGCGGGCGCGGAAAGCTGTCTGAGATGCATTCTTCTTGTAAAGTTCAACCATATATTTGGCCCGTCCCGAAGCCTCCAGGCCACGGTTTACAGTTATGTACCCGAACACTGATAGTAAAGTGGATTTTCCCGTTTGACAAATCCAACTCGAGTATCTAGATGCTCTCAACAAAAACAACTCACCTACAAGACAATTATATTATATTAAGCCAGAAATATTAGACTTTGTCAGTTTATTACAATTTCAAAACCCACGAAGAGGTTGATGTGTCTAAATATGGGATAATTACGACTGCGCCATACAAAAGACTTAAACGCGGTGGAGCAAGTACTAAAACTGTAATGCTCTCGTAAGTTTTAAGATGTAGATAAATTAGGTACATGAAAAATCTTCAAGTTATAATAGTTGTTGTGAAACAGTCGTTCATTTAAGGAGGGTATTATCTGAATAATTTGAATGTATGTATTTAAATGTTGCGGTCTAATGCATTATACTGCCTGCGAGCAATAAACGCGGGAAATTTAATTAATTTCAAGTGTAGCCGCGAGTGAAATGTAAATTAGTTTTATCAACGCTTTTCCATCATGCTGTAACCATGATGCTGCAATAAACTGTTACGTAATCAAATATCCACTTCAAATTGTCACGTCACGTATCTAACATCGTATAGATACGTTTTAATATATTTCCAAATATATTAAAACGAATAAAAAAATTTCATCGTTATCATAGTATTTGGGTTTAGCTGAATGTAAAAATGTTATATTTCATATTGTAACCTATCTCGATAATGGTGTTAAAAAAAAAAATAGTTACTCATCACAGTGGTGTAAATTATGTCACGTCACGTATCTAACATTGCATAAGTTATTGATCCAAATACACTAAAACGAAAAAAATAAAATTCATCGTTATCATCGTATTTGGGTTTAACTGAACGTAAAAATCTTACATTTCATATTGTAACCGATCTCGATAATGGTGTTAAAAAAAAATATAGTTACTCATCACAGTGGTGTAAATTATGTCACGTCACGTATCTAACATTGCACAAGTTATTGATCCCAATATATTAAACCGAAAAAAAAATTTCATCGTTATCATTGTATTTGGGTTTAACTGAAAGTAAAAATCCTACATTTCATATTGTAACCGATCTTGACAAGGGTGTCAAAAATTTTGTAATTACTCATCACAGTGGTGTAAATTATGTCACGTCACGTATCTAACATTGCACAAGTTATTGATCCAAATATACTAAAACGAAAAAATTTTTTCATCGTTATCGTCGTATTTGGGTTTAACTGAAAGTAAAAATCCTACATTTCATATTGAAACCGATCTCGTTAATGGTGTTAAAAAAAAAAAAGTTACTCATCACAGTGGTGTAAATTATGTCACGTCACGTATCTAACATTGCATAAGTTATTGATCCAAATATACTAAAAAGAAAAAAGAAAATTATCGTTATCATCGTATTTGGGTTTAACTGAACGTAAAAATTCTACATTTCATATTGAAACCGATCTCGTTAATGGTGTTAAAAAAATCATATAGTTACTCATCACAGTGGTGTAAATTATGTCACGTCACGTATCTAACATTGCATAAGTTATTGATCCAAATATACTAAAAAGAAAAAAGAAAATTATCGTTATCATCGTATTTGGGTTTAACTGAACGTAAAAATTCTACATTTCATATTGTAACCTATCTCGATAATGGTGTTAAAAAAATTATAGTTACTCATCACGGTGGTGAAGTTATTAATGACTCAGTTAACCTGAAGACGCACGTGTCGTCAACCCCGAGACTGCGAAGTGTGACGCTGCTCGATCAGCAGCGCATTTTAAATGATAAAAAGCGAAATTCAATTGAACACCCACCTGTTTTAACAGAACAATGAATGTAAGACCGGCTTTCATAGAAGACCCAGTCAAAGCCGGCTTCGACAGCGAGGCGGGCCAGCATACCATATTTGCTGCGGTCTCGGTCACTGGTGGTTAAGTCCACAGCCCGACCCTCGTAGTGGAGAGACTGTACAAACAAAAGTATAAAATTATTTACTTACGACCAGCTCTTTGTATGTTCTGCCGGTGGTGGGGTGTCTTGTGAACATGCACTAGTAAGTACCACCGACCCGGCTATTTCTGTCGCGAAGCAGTTCCGATTTACAAGGTGGGGCAGCCGTTGGACTAACGTCTTAAACTCATGTCTCAAGGTAGGTGGCGGCGTTTGTGTCGTCGACGTCTATGAGCTCCGGCAAGCGCTTAACACCAGATGGGCCGTGACTAGGTTCAGCAGTCTATAAAAAAAGTTGGTAACTGTAGCCCACAGAAATTGTAAATCTTGCCACCTATCTGGAGTATTAAAGTCGAAGTTTCCTTTGTATTATTCTAATCGCTCCTCTGAAACGTATGAATGACTCGAATAATCAGGATTTCGTCACCTGCTCGCTCGGGCTGGCTAATTAGATCAATGCTTATTGCTCTAGATAGGCAGACAAACTCAAGGACCATCTAGTGTTCAATATTTATCGGAATTCATATAAATCATAATAAAAATGTCACAACCTCTCTTAATATGTTTAGTTTTGGTCTCAAATCGTATAATAGTCGTCTTTGCTATTCAAACCGAAATACTTGGCACTACCAAGATGATTGTACCTGCTAGTGCACGATTTTAATTCGATCTCCCATCAGTAATAAACGCAAATTATTTTATTTGCTTCTATTCTTCAATCTAAACAGACAAACGTAACGAAATGTATAATTTACTTAATATTAAATGGAATAGCTGGTCATCTGACACTGAAAACTAGGGATAAGCAGCAATCCATTCTAGTTATGATAAGTGTATTCGGTTGTACCAGGTCACCGGTGCTCATTGGCAGTATATATAAATACGATTGGAATAGTGTCTATATTTCCTTTTGTTTTGCAGCATCGACAGCGCTTACAACATGCCTCATCATTCAATGATGAAATGAATAATGTACCTTGTCTAGATGATTATTCTCTTCGTCCCAACCTTCGATCACACGGAGCCGCACTCCCGGCCACTGGTTCATAACGCTGATTGCGAGAGTGTTTAATTTCTCCTTGCATCTCTGAAAATTTTAATTATCTTAATTATGATAGTGTTCAATTAACGATTCATTTTAATTATATAATTTTAGAAATCCAAACCGAATACAAGTTACAATAGACACTGTTAAAGCAATTAACTTAAATAAGTTGTGTGAATTGAAATAGTGATTCCAATAAATGAAGAAACATTTTCAACAACAAAATATAATATATTATCAAGGGATGTCCTAGCAAATGGCTAACAAACGTTGCCGCCTAAACCAAAGAACAACGCAGGATGTCGGACATTTTGCCATGAACGAATAAATCAAATTAAATCACGTCATACAAAAAGATCGACACAATTTATTTGTAAAGTGACTCTGCCGCACGAATAAAGGAAATGTCACAATATTTAGAAAGAAAAGTGGACAAAGCCGAGCGCGCTGCGTGGCAGCATTGTGCCGTGGTGTCAACTCACTCTATGCAGATTTGTTGTGAAAAAACATAGAGATTGACGTAACGAATCGAGTACACAGAGCGGCCCCGGGGCACCCCGCTTGGCCGATGCGTTCGGTCACATACAACAACAGATACTTCGAGCACCGTATATAATTATTTCCACGAACATTTAAACCTCCCAATAAAGTGTTACAAAAATAGTGATTTACTTCGAATCTCGAATGTATAAAATTATATCTATCTATATATTAATACGTGAAGCAAAAACTTTGTATCCCTTTTTACGAAAATTGCGCATACGGAGGAGTATGAAATTTTCTACACTTATATAGAATATAGAGAAGAAGTGCACAATGCTAATATTTTTTTTAAATAATGCATAAAAGATACATTAAATCAATAATGAAAACATTACACACACTACATACCATATATTTGACGCACACACGCATGCATACTATTTATTGTCAAACTTTTGTTCTTGACGTCTGTGGTCAAATTGAGAATAGATTAAATATTGTTTGTCTTTATAAATATTTTTATATAGAGTAGCCTTGGCGATATTTGTGATTATAGAAGTATAAAATACAAGTGTACAAACTTACAATTTCAATGAATTACAGTCGAATTTCGGCTACTGCGGGACCTCTAGTATATACAATTTTGTTTTCCTTTTGATGTGTCTCCCGTCGCATTGATTCCTTTTGTTTGTTTTAAGTTTATTTTATACAAAAGTTTAGGTCTTTTATTTATCGATTGAGGCACTACGAAGTCTGCCGGGTCAGCTAGTTCAGTTATAAAATATGTATTACAAACGTATTCAATCTTTGTTTACTTGGATATATGCGAGAATCGTCCAGCCAGGAAGCTCAATGTTTGTTTCTCAGCAAACGTCTCGGTCCGCACTAAAACAATCGAATGCTAATTGTTTGTCCAAACACGAGGTGCATTTAAACGTGGGAACACATCGGTGGCGCAATTAACTATCTCGTATCCATCACAATACTTACATCTGACATTCCTATATGAATTACATCTTTAGCAGGTACTCTGAAACGAGTTTTTTTTTGTAATTTTATCAGTATCGTACACAATTTTAAAATCTAAAATTTGTAAATAGAATTTGTAGATTTACTTTTTTAGACAAGAAATGAAATTTTCGGGAGAAAAAAGTTCAAATCGATTACATACGACATTCAATGAGATAATGTATAATTGATTTCAACTTTAATGCTAATATATATGATGCCTATACTGTTTGTAATCAAATCTGGTTTAAATATCAGAGGGCTTGTGAGGTACCCAACTCTGGCCATTATAAATTCATTATGCATATTTTTAGTAAACAAGCTGTCGATCACAATGCTTCGTCGCAGCGGGACGCCCTGCCTCCGACACCTTTCCCTGTCCTCTCGAACATACATACCAATCCTAATACCATGATTATCATCAATTCAGTATGCAATCGCATACTTACATTCAAGCCGGTGCAGCCAATGAGAACTCGACGATAAACCAGTTTAAAATCAAAATAAATTTAATGTTGCAAATTATCAAATTACACCACATCAAAGACTCATATTCAATTATACTGATTAACAAAAAATATAACAAGCGTATCGAATACCTAAGGTCACATTAAAGCAAGACAGGCTACCTGGGTTGTAAGCGGACGCACACGGACGTGATCTGAAGGCCGTGATATGTCGCGTTTATTGGAAAGCACATTTAAAAATTAATGAACTGAACTATTTGCAATATTTTAATGTAACTATGATTCTTTAAATCTAGTTCATCATTTAGAATATTCAAAGCGGCCATTAGAAATCCAATCGTTACATTTGATTTCATTCGCCACCTCATACTAGAGCGGACTGATAGTTAATTTATAACCGCCTCCCTCTGCGACCATAACAATATATTAAGATAATTAACTGGCTCTTTACATTCCTTAACACATAGTTTTTTTAACAAGGCCACTGGAGTCGAAAAGCACCGACCAATACTGACTGGGTTTTGATGTTCGGTTTTTTTGTTTTTTTTTTGTGGAAACCACAACAAATAGCTTAAGAGCATTTTTTGTGAAACCGACCGTTGATTTTGTTCACGCGAACCTGCAAGTTATAGCCACCTTATGTTAGGTAGGTAACAATAAAAGGTAAATGCTCGCAAGGCTATTAAAATACTTGTGTCCCGTAACTGTTTTACTCGAATTCGCATTTATTACACAAATAAAAATTTGTCCTCTTATCATATAATTTCCTAACTCATAAAAAGGAGAACAAATGACAATGAGCAAAGTTTTGTTGACATTATTTAGACTACAATCGATGATTTTATTACTAACATTATACTGGATTTGGTAAAGCAATGATTCTCAACAACAAAATATTTCCGACGACTTTTTGCGTAAAAATCTTAAAGATCGTTCAACAAGTTCCATTTTAAAATACTCTTAAACCAACACAAGGTCCGTTTTATGGTTTTTTATTTTTTTATTATAACATTTATCAAACTAATGTAGGTATAAGTAAAAAATATGCTTTGCTTTCAACGAGATTCTTAATGCGTTGTCCAATAATATTAATGCCTCTAATTTTTAATCAATGTTCTGGATTTTATTCTAAATTCATAATTACGTTTAAGCCCTCGTGGCTCAAAGTATCAAATAACTTTTATACTTGTACAGACCGATGTATCAGAGAATTAAAATCCATCACCTTGCCTATAACTCCCGTAAAGCAATCATGAATTTGGGTTCAAGACTAGAAGAGTTTTTACCTGGTCAATAAAATTGTCACTTCGATCTCATGCCGCTAGGTGGGTTGTGGCATTTACATTGTGATATGCGGCATAAAGGGTGTTCCTGTTATGATTATAGCTAAGTTTTTTTTATATGGCTTAGATGGGTGGACGAGCTCGCAGCCCACCTGGTGTTAAGTGGTTACTGGAGCCCATAGACATCTACAACGTAAATGCACCACCCACCTTGAGGTATAAGTTCTAAGGTCTCAAGTATAGTTACAACGGCTGCCCCACCCTTCAAACCGAAACGCATTACTGCTTTACGGCAGAAATAGGCAGGGTGGTGGTACCTACCCGCACGGACTCACAAGAGGTCCTACCACCAGTAAAAGTGTGTACACCACAGATTAAATTTAGTAGATACCTGTACGATCTGTAAGCCGCTAATGTTTGAACCAAACTAACCTAAAAAGTAATCCATAACGTTTTTAGCAAGAACACAATAGAATCTTAGTTTAAAATTTCGTTACTTAAACTATGAGTGTTCTAAGATAGTAACCACACAAATAAATGTTATAATTTAAGCATTAAAGATTTTCTTTTGAAGCTACTAACATTATTATCAAATGTTTATGGATGCAGATAAATGCAACACAAATATTTGACATTGGTATATAATTTCTAGTGTCGTACTAGCTGTCGGACACTTCATAAATATGTATGTTGTAGATGCAGCACCATTACCTGTGTATTTTCTAAGACACTTTGATGTTTGTCCACGAAAAATATCACCCTTTGTTGTCTTAATGCGACTGTCGTCAGAGCTGTAGTTCCACAGCAGCAGAACATTTGTTCAATACTATTTAATTAATATTTCAAACTACCTACAAATATATAGAATATAAGTGTGTAAAATGGAAATTATACTATAAATAATGTAACCATTTAGAGCAACTACATTTATAATGTATTTTTTCCCTTTAAATATCTATGAAGACTCTATTAATTTTAGTTTTTTTTTATTAACAATTATCTGTTGATAATATAATACACTCATAAAGGTACCTTAACAAACAATGACTACAAGGCTTTTAAGGAGACCCGGGCACCTTTCCCCCGAACGAAAAAAAATTGAAACACGACACCAATGTGCGGTGTTTGTTTGGGCCAGAGACCTCTGTTAATGAAACGTTACACTTCATTCACTGAACTGAACCAAATATTTTTACCAACATGAGATTAGTTCGTTATGAGTTTTTAATGATATCGTTTATTAATTCGTCTACCAAATGTTAGATAAATAACAACATTTATGATCATTTTGTTTGGACCTGGAACGTAAAATCATTAATATTTATTATATAAATCAGATCAATCCACAGAAGGGTAAAATTTAGAAATTTTTTTTTTACTTTTCCTGAGAATTATTGAAATAGCGGAAAATTATGAGTGTGAGTGATAAGTGGAGGGTTAGTTCGAAAAATGTAATGAAGATATGTACTATTACGAAGAAAATTGAAAAGTAATAGTGGTACCTAGAGAATTTCGTGGAATTTTTATCAATTGGCTATACCATCTTGTGATTAATAATCGACCGACTAAATAACTGAATATTATTTATATAATCAACAATGAAAGTTACAGTCCTACTCATTCATGAGCTGAATGCGAAACGAACCCAAGAGACCGATCAGTTAGCCGAGCCAAATTGTAACAATACATCTTTACGGTTTGAAAACTCTCGGGACGGATGTAATTCTATTATTTACATTTTTATGATGGCTGACGCGAGGTCAATGACGAAGTCAATGAGAGCATGTTCGCTGGATGTTGC